TTCTAGTGCTGAAAGCGCTTACTTAGCTGTAAAATCACTATAGGAACACCTAATAAAGACAAAGAAAACCACAGCCACTACACAAACTTAGGCCAAAACCCTAGAGCAAGCGCGACCAGCTACTTGCGTGTTCGGCGGGGTCGAGTGAGCCGTTCCATCCGGTGCGTGTTAGCAGAGAATAAGCACGCGACCTTCTTTTTCCTCCAGATTGAGAGCCGCTCTTGCTGTCGACCCACTACGTGCTGGTGGCATTATCCCCCCCTTTCGAAAAGAAAAAAAAAAACAAGTCCCAAAAAGAGGAAAGAAAAGTACATAGCAGCATTGCGATGCTACTACATAGGCACGTGAAAAAAAATTAGAAATTCGGATAAAGCGAAAGTAGAAATTGAAGAGCGTGCCAATATAGGAAACGTCAATGAACGAGAAAGCAAGTTCACAAACCAGCACGTAGTGGGTCGACAGCAAGAGCGGCTCTCAATCTGGAGGAAAAAGAAGATCGCGTGCTTCTTCACTGCTCGAATGCCAGCCACGACTTACGCATTGTTCTAGAACTAGCTACCCGGTGATTTAATAAATCCCCCAGTACTTGTGACTCATCGTGACAAACTGGTGGAAGTGCTGGGTAGTCTCACGAATGCTGCAGACCCCCCCCCACCCCCCCAGGAAGCTGTGACAAGAGTCCAGTGCCAGTGAATACCCCCGTGCATCAAACCAGCCGCCGAATCTGGTGAATGCATTGGAAGTTGACGATACTGCTCCCACCACATCGACAAACATGACCAGCGCTTCAGTGCAAACCTCGTCTACTGGCACGGGAAGCACGACGTTGAACCTCTATACAATGAAAAGACCAGGGGCACCGGCGACGTTCCATGGAACAGAGCACGAGGACGTTGAGGACTGGTTGGGGGACTTCGAGCGCGTAGCCACCTTGAATCAGTGGGACGACGCGGCGAAACTGCGTCGTGTCCATTTTTATCTCGAAGACGGGGCACGTACGTAGTATCAAAACTGAGAGGAGCAGCTGACGACATGGCCCGAATTCTCTCGTAGACTTCTGCAGACCTATGCCAGTGCTGATCGCCAAGAACAAGCTGAACGAGCTATTCTGGCCTGCGTCCAGTTGTCAAACAAAACTGTGACCACGTACGTCAAGGACATGACGCGCCTCTTCCGACGAGCCAAATCAAGAATGACGAAGAACAAGAAGTTGCGTCACTTGATGCGCAATATCAAAAAGCAGCTTTTTGCCAGCCTCGCGCGCAGCCCTCCGAAGACTGTCGCAGAGTTCTTGTCCGAGGCCGTGACAATGGAAAAAATGCTGCAGCAGCGATCCAACCAATACGACAGGCAAGTCAGGGGCATGTCTACTGCCGACATTTTCACCGCCACTAGAACCAGCAAAAACTGTCTACGAGAACTCATCCATGATATAGTACGTGAAGAGTTGCAAAAGGCTGGTGTAACACCTCATCCTACGGTTAACTCTATTGCAACTGTGATCAAGGATGAGCTGCACCAGGCTCTCTGGGACACCTTGCCTCCTGATACAGGTGCGCCAGCTCCTCCTGAATACCGCCGTGAGACAACCTACGCGGAAGCCTTGAAATGCCCTGCTGCATCGCCGCCATTATTCGTTCATCCTGTTTCACTCCAGTCAGCGCAGCACATACTGTACTACGAAGTCACGTACACGCAAGCGCCCTTGCCCTTTGTCCCTGGTGCTTCTGTGGCCCGTCGTTCGGTGCAACCAGTTCAGTACATCGTTGATCGGCGCACGTCTTCTTGGAAGTCTGATGTTTGGCGCACACCTGATCGCCGGCCTCTGTGCGTTCACTGCGGAGAAGCTGATCACTTGTACAGCCAGTGCCCATATTGCCGTCTTGGGCTTCGGGCTTCTCTGCGTACTAACCCCTACCCCGTTACAGCCAGAGACCGCGCGAAATGGAAAACTACCTCTCCCAGCAGCATGCACCACCGTCTGCCGGGCGCCAGTCGCGCTCGCCATCACCGAGGCGATTTTCATCAATGCCCCAGCGATATTCTACCACACGGTCTCCCAGCCCTCACCGGGAAATCTAGCCTAAGCGACCTCTGGGGGCGGGGTCGCTGAACGTGAAAGCGCTGAAGACCTCCTATTGACACAGAACCATACAGAAACCGGTCCGACATCGCATACTGCTGCAAAGGATGGCCGACTTTCACTCGACATAGCAGTGACAATTGATGGTTGGGCAGTTAATGCGTTAGTGGACACCGGCGCCGACTATTTCATACTGAGCTGGAAACTGACAACGCAGCTGTAGAAAGTCATCACGCTGTGGCATAACTCGCAGATTCAGACAGCTGGTAGTCACGTCGTTACTCCACTGGGTGCCTGCGCAACTAGAGTACAGATTCAATTGTATACATTCGTAGCAAGCTGCCTTGTTCTACGCGAATGCTCCCGTGACGTCATTCTGGGAGTTGACTTTCTACAGGAAAATGGAGCTATCATTGATCTGCAAAAGCGCCGCGTCACGTTCTCAGCCCAGCGAGCAATCAACGTACAGGATGACGGAAGGCGTGTCGACGTACTCCGTATTTCTGAACAGAGCGTGACGCTTCCTCCAGTCGACGTAACATGCTGTGGTTTGGGCGATGGCGATGTGGTAGCCGAGACAAATTTAGAACACCTCCTGCAGCAAGGCATTTGTGTAGCTAGAAGTGTAATACACCTTCGTGATGGCCGATCTGAATCGCTCGTAACTAACTTTAGCAACGAGCATCGACATCTTTTCCGTGGCACTTCGATAGCATTTGCCCACGAAATAGCAAACGTCACCAACTGTTTCACGTTAGAACTAGTGGATACTGCCGACACGTCAATGAGTAATATTGACATCAATCCTGATCTGTCCACCGATAACCAGACTGCGCTATGAGCACTCTTGTTCGAATTCAGGTCTTGCTTCGCAAGTTGCTCAAAGATCTGCCAGACGTTTATCACTCAACACAGGATCATCACGTACGAGGACGCATGCCCGATACACCAGAACCCCTACCGCGTGTCGGCTAAAGAACGTGAAGTGATACGTACGCAAGTCAGCGAGATGCTTGATGATGGTGTTATTGAACTATCTAACAGCCCGTAATCATCTCCAGTCGTACTTGTCAAAAAGAAGGACAGGTTGCTACGCTTCTGGGTCGACTACTGAAAGCTTAACAACGTGACCAAAAAGGATGTGTATCCGCTGCCGCGTATCGACGATTCGCTGGATAGACTTCGTCGTGCCCATTATTTCACTTCTCTCGATCTCAAAAGTGGGTATTGGCAAATCGAGGTAGATCAGCGAGACCGTGAGAAAACAGCCTTCGTGACTCCAGACGGCTATACCAATTTCGCGTGCTCTCTTTTGGCTTGTGTTCAGCGCCGGCAACTTTCCAGCAAATGATGGACACTGTCCTCACAGGGCTCAAGTGGCAGACTTGTCTTGTCTATCTTGATGATGTGATGGTCTTCTCTACCACGTTCGAGCAGCACCTTCACCGCCTGCGCAGCGTGCTGGAGGCTATCCGATCGGCGAACCTCGCACTAAAGCCACAGATGTGCCACTTCGGCTATAAAGAACTAAAATTTCTTGGACATGTAGTTAGCGCCGAAGGAATCCGGCCCGATCCGGACAAGCTTGCCGCTGTTGCTGAATTACCAGCTCCTGTTGATAAGAAAGCCATCCGGCGCTTCCTTAGTTTGTGCGCCTACTATCGCCGGTTCATTCATGGCTTTTCACAGATAGCAGAACCTCTGACTTGTCTCACAGGGGACGACACGCCGTTTGTCTGGGTAAACGAGCAACAAGCAGCTTTTGATGAGCTGCGATAGCGCATGCAATCAGCGCCCGTTCTCGCTCATTTCAATGACGATGCTGACACGGAGGTCCATACCGACCCTAGTAACATTGGGCTCAGTGCAGTGCTCGTTCAGTGTCAAGAGGACATCGAACGAGTGATAGCCTACGCCAGCTGCTCTCTGTCCCGTGCCGAGGCGAATTATTCCACTACGGAGAAAGAGTGCCTCGCAGTCGTGTGGGCAATCACCAAGTTTCGCCCGTACCTTTACGGTCGTCCCTTCAAGATAGTGACGGACCATCATGCGCTTTGTTAGTTGGCAAGCCTGCGCGACCCTTCAGGACGGCTAGCACGGTGGAGCTTGCGGCTGCAGGAATTTGATGTCACCATCGTCCATAAGTCCGGCCGTAAGCATGAAGACGCTGACACTCTGTCACGCGCACCCCCTCATGTCGTCAGTTGTGGCTGGCTCTCAGCAGAGAAGAAACACGCGATCTTCTTTTTCCTCCAGATTGAGAGCCGCTCTTGCTGTCGACCCACTACGTGCTGGTGGCAACATGAAGCGCCATGGGAAAGAAGCCAATACTATAACTCTACCCCCCCCCCCCCCCCCCCCATGCCAGGACACTACACTACTTTCTATTCTCTGGAAGACTTTGCTCCTTGTAGACATCTGTGGTAACCTGACAAAAGCAAGAACTTGTGGTTGGGTTACTCATATTGTTGTTGCCCCTCCTGTAACTATTAAGCACTATTTTTATTTTTTTATTTATTACTAATGTTATTGGTTATTGACAAATAAATTACACATGCAGCTAATGTGATGTAAAAGTTCTAAAACTGTCTCACATTCCCCTGCCTCTGTTTTCTAATTGGAGCTTATTGAAAATATATAGTGAAGTATTAATATACCCAGGTACATTTATTATTGCCATCAATTACTTCTTGTTCTAGCTCAGCTGTTAGTAATTGTGAAATGTTTTATTGTCAGTTACGATTTGGGAAATTTATAATGGACAGTAATTAAACCATGCCGGGTCTCTACTGTATCAGCAACTAAAACAGCATAATAATTTTCTCAGGTATGATGATGGTACACTTCAAATAATCTTTTTCAATGAACTATTGCCATCATAAATATTTCAATCTGCATATATATTTGCTTGTTTCAGTTCGTATGTGCTGCCATGTAGCATTGAAGAAGTGGTTGTAGATTCATCTGACAACGGGCCTAGAGAACCAATGGGGCCCTCTTCTAAAAGTCTAATAGTGCCCAATGAGAAGGCTCTTCAAGTTGTAGCATCTGCCTCTACCACAGACAAGCAAGTCATGTCTGTTAATTCAGTAAGTTATGTTATAAGTATGTCGTGCTAGATACGTTTGATGTTGCAACAACGAAGAAACTGTTGCCTGGTTTAACCTTTTATCTGACGAGTATTTTTTTGTTATACCATCAATATGTAACAAATGTTGTTGGCCTATTCATTGTGAACATCTTTCACTTTTGCACAGCAGCTCAATTTCTTACTTTATAATTTATTCTTAATCTTTCTATGTTTTTGACATTCACATAGGCATGGCAACAGAAATACTCTGAGGGAAGCTTGACACTCCTTTAAACAGAATGCAGGCCTCCATGCAACATGTCGTTTATGGCATTGTGCAAAATAGAAATTGCTAAGGCAAAAGCAGCAGAACATTTTTGTCGAGTTTCATTCTCATAAGACAGGCTGCCAGAGGCTTCACCTTTATCATATATTAGTTAAAGCTCTCAAAATGACACAGAGCTGTAAAAGCATAATTGCTTAGTTGAGATAGTAAAACGTCCTAAAATGCCAAGATTTTGGCTGATGCCACAGCACTTATCTAACTTGGAGTCTGAGGAGCCAAACTTCCACTCTTCTTCCAAACCATGTCTCACAAAAAAATCATTTACAAAATTTTCTGAATTAAATATTCTTAATTGCTTGATCCGTTTTGCAATGAACTTTTTTTGCGGCTTATTTTTCATAGTCAGTTAAAACTCTATCTCGATAACTGCACTCTATTTGGCTAAATCGGGAAGTTTATCATAAGATAGAGAAATAAATTTTTCGGTTCTTGAACACATAAAATTGTATTATAGCAGCATTTAAAAGCTGATGCAGCTTTTTATTTGCCACTTACACATGTCTGTACGTCTGAAAAAGTCTACAAGGGCAGCCCGTTCATGGAGCCTTCCATGTACAGGTGATACGGGCAAGGTATGAACAGTTAAGTAAAGCTATGGCAAGCAGCCGATGTGCTAAGACAAGGAGAATGAATCCACTGGTTGTGTGAGCTGGCAGAAAAGGAATGTTACGAAGGTAGAGTCAATGACATCTGTTGCTAAAGCCTTGATCCTGTCCGTATGGAGTTTTTTTGTTGTTAATAGCAATACTAATATACCGATATTTTTATTTGCCGATTTGCTTCTACATGTCTTGAAAAAAAACTAGAAATAGAATTAATGAAAGTTTGTTAAATCGGTTGTAGTGTCATAATAGCTTTGGTAATTCAAGTTGATGGCAACATTTCATTTGATGAGTGTCTGTTTGAAAGTAGAAATTCATTTGTTATGTCAGCTTTATAAAGTTTGGGTTTGATTAGATTGAGTTTTAACAGTATGCAGGGGCACAATCAACTCTCTACATGCATTTTTCGCTGAGAATGGCAAATTGCTGGCTGTATGTCATGGCGCTTTAAAATTTTTCTTGGATTATAAAAAGCTGTTATAACTTGATTGGCTTATCGATGCACTAGTAGTAGGGAAATGCTACAACAAACACACTACAAAAACACAGGACACAGTTTAATAGAGCAAGCGCAGATGCTTGGCGATGCACTTCTGGTGGGGAAATACTAGAAAAAACACACAACAAAAAACAAGGTACAAAGTTCAACAGAAGGAGCGCAGTTGTGCTTGCTCTACTATACTGTGTACCGTGTGTTTAGTTTGTGATGTATGCTTCATAGCCCTTCCCTATCCTAGGCACTCATCCTAGCCAACATGAACCAACTTGTTCCTTTCGTTGAATTACTAAAACTCGATAAAACAAAACCCGATTTTGTGAAATTCTCTACCTAATAGAGAAATTCACATACCCGGGCAAATATCCATTAGAGTTCAGTGTTACCATCAATCCGAATGAACTAGGTCGGCAACCAAGCCGAATTGAATGAAGTTTTTTTCTGAAGTAGTAATTGAGTTTAAAATGTGATGGTTTTCTTCTAATTTTGACCGAGATGGTTTTTTTCTTTGAGCGTGTGGTCTAGCGATATTGCGTTAAAGCATACAGGTGCTATAGTTATGACCCTAGCTTTGTTTCAAATGAAGCTGCTCGCTGTACAAGTGCAAGGGACGATGGACTTGGCAGCTGTTAGCGTGCTTAGGTAGCAAATAGCACCAAAGATGGTCTTGGTTGCTTTGGTTATCAAATGGTTTATGCAATAGATAGTGCTAATCATCACTTGCCATCTTTCTCTGTGTCATTGCTTATTAGTAGGCTGTCACAACTACGCGTGACTGTCTACCTGGCCTGCATCACCCAGATATGGTGTCTGTTATGTGTGTGCCACCCTGACAGACTTTTCAGATGCGCAGGCATAAGTTTCCAATAGAAATAATGACATGGTAGCTTTTGGGTGCTACTACGTTACAATTTTAGATTTCAAAAAACCAAGAAGCTTTTTCTTAATTTTTAGGAATTCTCAATTGAACAAAGCAATTTGAGCATACCCACCGCTTTAACAAATCGAGTTTCAACTGTATATTGAACTAATTCTTATTTTTTTAGGGAGTTTAATATATAAGGTTTCGACTGTATGTAGCAAAGGCCACACTTGCAATCTGCTTTTCACTAAAGCCATGATATCAAGCTCATCTGTGACTGTTTTCAGCTTCTTTCCAGCATACAATTCCATGAATATGATGAAAAGTCATGAATATCAGTCATGAATATCATGAAAGAAGTCATGATGAAAAAGGTTCCACAAAAATTTTCTTATTTCTGCTGCAGGATTAGACACTGGCTGGTTTAAGAAAAGTATCATGAAAATTGGTTGTTAGTTTCTAGAACTATTTAGGCGACTAATTAGTTAGAGGTCGGATTTTTAGGCACTAAAAATTGCATTTTAGGCACCAAAAATAGGCAGGCAAAACAGTACTTTAGACACCGAAAATAGGCTATCAAACACATTTTAGGCCTTGAATGTCGCAAATGTAGGCACAATAAATTTTGACACAAATGCAAAGAATTTTGACAGAAAGACGTGAGCGATCTATCTATGAGAGGAAAGGAAATGAAAAAAGCATCTTCTCACTATGGGTGGTAAGCCTGGATGAACGATGGAGCTGAGCTGCCTTTGTTCTTCTGTATCACTCGCTAAACTTTTTCGTCTTTCTTTTCCTTTCATCCCTGGATTATTTCTCTGTGTATATGTTGCTTCCTATTTATAATAGACTCTCAGTAAACGAAAGTCTGTTAAACGGAACAACTGCCTGTGGCCAAATTGATTTCATGCTTGTGTTCTGCACCCCTGGTCATCTCTCGGTAAATGGAACTCTGTTTACATGGAACATATACCTCTGTCACATGGCAGATCTAATGTCATTTTACCTGAGTGCTGTCACACGACGAAAACAAATTTCATTTTGAAATGGTCATCATGACTTTAGATCCTGAGCTGGGGATTTGAGAAAAATAAAAACATACTAGAACTTTCATTTAATATACCACAAATTCACTTTTATAGGTAAAATGGTGCTCCTAAAATATAAACACGGCCATCTTACACAACTTGCCACAGCTGCACGACACTCGAAAACCAAGATGGCCTATGATGTAACCAAGCGTGAGTAGAGTGAACTGAAGTGGGGCGCATGACTTCCCAGCTGCAGAAATGAGACAGCGGCAGTGATTTCGTGTAGTCACCACCTTGGTCACCACAACACATGCAACCAGACTATCAATATCCGCGATACAGGCAACAAAAAAAGAGCAAAACGAAACATGGCCGGCGTCTAGCCCCTGTAGCTAAGGGTAGCTTTTTTTTCTGGAAGTTTTTGCACATGCTATTATGTCATCAAACCAGTAATAAGTTGATCTAGTAAAATATAAGATATTTACAAATTATAAAAGTTGCGTTTACGTAAGTTAACAGTCATCTTCCTAAAAGTCCCTGGTGTCGAGACTACTCATTCGGTCCGAAATTATATGCGAATGTGTTTCGGGAACTCATTGGACAGAAAATGTCATTTCCATCAAATGACATTAGTTTCTTCGTGTGACAGCAAACAAATGACATTACAAACGAATGACATTCACTGTAAATGACATTATATTTGCCATGTGACTGGGTTAATACTTTCCTGGTCTCTTCAGGTCCTGTTTACTGAAAGTTTACTGTACTGCTCTTTTCGCTCTTTTTCTCCTTTCTTTCCTGTTCTCTCTGTTTATCTCTTTCTTTTTAGGTCATGCTTTACTTTCTCTCTTCCACCTTTCCATTTTCTGCTAACCCTCACCACTCTCCTCCTCAACCCCACCTTCCAACCTCCTTGGCACATTACACTGTAAAGTGCTTTGTTATGCACGGCTAGTGTGCCGGGATAGCCGAGTGGTTACGACGCTCGCATTCCGATCGTAGGTATATGCAGCTTCAAATCCCATCTCTCCAAAAAATTTTTTCGTCTAACATATATCTCTTTCTCTTTGTTTCTATATCTTTCTTCCTTTCTTTCTCTCCATACTTGTTTTCTCACCCATTGGTGTTATTGTGGGCCGTGCCTGACAAATCGGCGCTCGTGCTCTGTAGAAAATTATAAAAACTATGAAGGGAAAAAGGAGGCCGAAGAAAAACACATGTTGGTTCATGACGATGATAATATCTGTTTACTCATTACGGACCAATGCATGGCTTAAACAACTCCGCTGTTAGAATTTTCTCGTTTATGATGGCATAAAGTAGCCGACAGTTGGCACGGCTGCAAAAAGCAATGCAAAAGCAGATACCCAGACCACAGAAAGACCAGGTAGGAAAAATGCCTCGAATTGGCCGCGCCTAATCGCGTAAGGTCAATGTCTCCTCTAACGGTATACAGTCAACGTCCAATTTCCCGGACCCTCGAGGGACCGCGAAAACGTCCAAAAATTGGGCAGTCTGGAAAAACGAATGCACGTGAAAACACACCTTTTTTTTTTGTAGGTATTTTTCGCTGACTGAAAGGGTAATGGCCGGAGTACAAGATTCTCATTGCAATTCAGTCAATGCACTGTTTAGGTGGCTCTGAAAAGTGCCGTTTATATATATAAAAAAATCCGACGTTG